GTCTCCAGTTCTGCTTTGTGGGCGTCCTTGTGCCCAGTGATCAATAATGTGGATAGTGCCATCAGACCACCACTTCCAGGTGGATCTGTACAAGCCGGTAAAAGCTGTGGTCGTAGCTGGTGTCACTTTTGTAACCATTTCATTGTCAGTTAGTGTCAACACGTTTGCCAGGTCTGTGTACTGCTGCCTGCAGTAGGTCTGTGCCTCAAACCACGTCTTTGATTCATTTACGAAGACATATGTCTTAATAGAATGAACTGGGAAAAAATAACATGTTCAAGTATTATTTGCACAAAAAACACACATCTAAAAAAAGTACTTCTTAATTTTCGCAATTCAACATATGATAAATGAGTTGATGAAATGGAAACTACAAATATTTAAATTGGTAACTCTAAATTGTCCCTAGGTGTGAGTGAGAGAGTGAATGGTTGTTGGTCTCGTTTGTCTCTATGTGGCCCGGTGATGGACTGGAGACCTGTCCAGGGTGTATCCCGCCTCTCACACTTTGACGACTAGACATAGGCACCTTCTTCTTTCGGCTTTTCCCTCTTCAGTGTTTGCCACAGCGAGTCATCCTTCTTCCTCACTCTGTCCTCTGCATCCTCTGTCCTCTCTCCATCTACCTCCATATCCTCTCTAACTGCATCCATATATCTCCTTTTTGACCTTTTCTTTGTCTTTTTCCAGGCAGCTGCATTTCTAACATCCTTCTACCAATATACCTACTCTCCCTCCTCTGGACATGTCCAAACCATCTCAGTCTGGTCTCTCTAACTTTATCTCCCAGTTGTTCAACCTGTGCTGTACCTCTGACGATCTCATTCCTAATCTTATCCATCCTTGCCACTCCTAAGAAGAACCTCAACATCTTCATTTCTGCCACTTCCAGTTTTTTCTCTTGTCTTTTTGTCAATGCCACTGTCTCCAGACCATACAACATAGCTGGTCTCATCACTGTCAAAACATAACAGTTAAAAGATTTTCCACAGAGAAGTACTTGTCCTCTTCAGAGTATTGGCATGCCATGCCACTTGTTGCATGAGCTGCTTTTCTTTCTTTGCCCAGCCAGGTCTTCACATAAGGCATTGGGTCCCATTGCATGCAGGGTGGTCCAAAGGAGCTGACATAGAGGAGGTTTGCAGCATTCTTGGTAGTCAATTTGCTCCTGTCCTCAGTGATGATATTGTTCATGGTTCTGAACCCACTCTCACAGTCTGTTTTACTTGCTGACAATGTATCCACTGCCACAAGCAATTCCTTCATCTTATTAGGAAGGCTTCTTCCTCCACTTGCTTTGTACTCAATTAATCAATTTTGAGTTTTTATTTTAAGGTCTATAGATGATGTATTGTTTGTCCTGTTCCAAATGCAAGTGGAGGTTTTAACGTCTGTGCACCACATATGTAAAATGACCCAGTTCGTTAAATCGAATGCACCAATCCCCTTGGCAACCACTGTGTTTTGGAGGTAAATGCACATGTGCTCGCGTGTAGCATAAATTAAATCACCGGTCATAAGCAGTGTTTTCAAGCTGTGTTGTGTTGTTGAAATTGAGCAGAATAATATGAAACACAATTAATCTCTCTTTGCTTTTAATTGGGATTTTTGTAACAAGCAGACAGACAATAAATGTAGTGGTGAACATTTTAAAGGCTGGCCGTTGACGAAAGCCTCGAGCTCCAATGGGAGAGAAGCTAGAGAATTGAGGCTCCAGCATAGCACAATCAGTTCAGAAACAATTTGAAATCAGAAAAACAGCTATTTATTAACAGACTAAGTCGTGTTTTAGACTGCTTATTGCTAGTGAATCTATTTGGACCCAAAGTGCAACCGTGACTGGTTCTGAATGACGGCTTTACAGCAGACAGCCGCTCCCATCTCTTCCAGATACTGCATACCGGTGCATATTCGTTTAGTGGTACGCCGTACCTGCTTACTTTCATCCCTGCTTTTACATCTCCTGTGCCAGTCTAACATACTTCTTTGCCACTCCAGTTTTCTTCATGCAATACCACACCTCCTCCCTCGAAACCCTGTCATATGCATGTTCTAAATCCACAAAGACAAACTGGAGTTCTTTCTGACCTCTCTGTACTTCTCCATCAGCATTCTCAAAGCAACAATGACATCTGTGATGCTCTTTCTAGTCATAAAACCATACTGATGCTCAAAAATAGTCACCTCTTACCTAACTCTTGCTTCCACAACTCTCTCCCAGATCTTCATCATGTGGATTAACTTAATTCCCCTGTAGATGCTACAACTCTTTAGATCACCTTTGTTCTTAAAAATGGGCACAAGCACACTTCTCCATTCCTCAGGGATTTTCTCACTCTCAAATATGCCATTGAGTATTTGATTCAAAAATCTCACTGCCATCTCTGTAAGACATTTCCAAACCATCAGGTCCTTCTGCTTTCCCCTTCTTTGCTCTTTTCAGAGCTTTGCAGAGCTTTCCAGACTTCACCCTCACTAATCTTTTCCACTTCATGGTCCACAGTTTCTATGACCTCTACTCTTCTTTCTCTTTCATTCTCTTCATTCATTAGCTCCTCAAAGTACTCCTTCCATTTTCCCATCACAGTCTCCTCACTTGTTAGAACATTACCATTCCTATCTTTAACAAGCCTAACCTGCTGCACATCCTGTCCAACCTGATCTCTCTGTCTTGCCAATTGGTACAAGACCTTCTCGCCCTCTTTAGTGTCCAGTCACCCATACAACTCATCATATGCCTTCTGCGTTGCCTTTGCTAACTCCCTCTTTTCTCTACATTGCATCTCTGTCATTATCAGCGGTCTATGCTTGCCCCCTATCTGTTCACGTCTCTGCCTCTTCATGCCATGATCACATCCTCTGTCATCTGTCACACCCACTCTTCACCTGCTGATCATCAGCGCTTATTCGCCGCACATGTTCATGCCCATATTTAAAGACTCTTCTCACCACTCCTTGCTACCTGATTATTATACCTCTCATGGTTCCTGATATCCAGCCATTCCTGATTCATGTTCATAGCCTTGTTTGCTGGCCTTGTTTTGACCTCATTCCTGCCTCTTGGATTCCTCGCCTTACCTGCTTCTTGTCTGTTTTGGATTTACCTCTCTGACCACTGTAACAACCTCTTCTTCTGTCTCTATGACCACAGTTCATGGATCACCCTCTTTGGATCATTATTGGAAATCTGACAAACTGTTCCTGACCCTGCTTTGTCTCTCGGACCCCGCTCTCGGATATGCTCCCAGAAACCACGTTATTGCAGCACTCCTCTGCAGCTGCTCTGCTCCACTGCTGGTGACATCATCTCTGCAGACTTTGACAGGTGACTCTCTCCCTATTGCCTGTGAGGACCTGTTACTGCAGCTGGACCCTGACTTTCCCCAGCAGATGCAACTCAAAGATGTGAGGTTTTTTTTACACTCTTGTTGTCTGGCTATATTCTGAATTCGAAACACTGACTTTCTGACAATCTCCTTATATTCTTGTGCAGCACGGTGGCGCAACTGGTAGAGCTGCTGCCTCTCAGCGAGCAGGTCCCTGGTTCAAACCCCGGTCCAGGGGCCTTTCTGGGTGGAGTTTGCATGTTCTCTCCGTGCATGCGTGGGTTTTCTCCGGGTGCTCCGGTTTCCTCCCACAGTCCAAAAACATGCATGTTAGGCTGATTGGTAACTCTAAATTGTCCCTAGGTGTGAGTGAGAGAGTGAATGGTTGTTTGTCTCGTTTGTCTCTATGTGGCCCTGTGATGGACTTGCGACCCGTCCAGGGTGTACCCCGCCCCTCGCACAGTGATTGCTGGACATGGGCACCAGCGACACCCGTGACCCAAAATGGAATAAGCGGGTAAAGAAAATGGATGGATGGATGGATGGATGGATGGATGGATGGATGGATGGATG